TGTATGTCTCTGTGTCTCGATGTCTCTGCATGTCTATGTATGTCTCTGTGTCTCGATGTCTCTGTATGTCTCTCATGTCTTGATGTCTTTAATGTCTCTGTATGTCTCCATGTCTCTGCATGTCTCTGTATGTCTCTAATGTCTCTGTATGTCTTTGTTTTTTAAACTGGTCTTATCCCCTTCGTCGTGTTATATATTTTCTATAATCCAATAAATCCACATCCTCTTAACTCATTGCTTGGATTTGACTGGTCAGATGTATTTGTTTTCAGATTTGGGGTTCTGGGACATTTCAGGGTCACCCTGCTTGGTGAGGTGGGGGTCCAGCTCTCCTGCTGCCCACACCTTGTGAGAGCCAACTTCCCTCCACAGTTCCATCAGCTGACACAGAGCTCATGGATGATCATACTGTGATGATCATGTGAGACGGGGAGATTAAACAATGCAGGTGTAGACAGTATCACTATCTGTCCGTACATTATGCACATTACCCTACACAGATAAACCATCTAAAAATAGCTTGTGGTTCTTGCTCAGCAAAACAAAAAAGCCTCTGCAGTTACGGTGCATGACATGTCAGAAGCTGTTCATGCTTGTTAGTTAAAAGTTTAATTAAAATGATTCAAATTAAATATGTGGTTTGTTTTCCTCCAAGCACTCCCGTTGTATCTTCCTAAAAGCAGTTTATTTTTAATTTAGTAAACCGAGAACATTGTAGTTCCGAGGTAAGGATTCGTTGTGTGGTGGGTTGCGTAGGTTAAAGATTCACTAAAGTTTTTTTCAGTTTGAGCTGCGGCCAAGTTTCAGGAAATATCAGAAAAATGTTTGAGTCCCAGGCGACGCGAGTCTGACGTGGACTGTGTTGATTTGTTTACCACCATGACACAAACTGAAGTAATGATTTTACTTTGTTGTTTCTTTAATTCCTCTTCAGAGTCAGTCACTCGGCATTCTCTCCTTTGGACTAAATTTAATGCTGCCATAATTAATTAAGGACATTTTTGTATTTTAATTGTGCCCTTACTTTAAAAACACTGATATCTTAAAGATAATTAAAGCACTGATTTTATTGGATGTAACCATAACATTATAAATTATTTTACCACCTTGACTTTTAGTACGTGTTGTTAGTTAAATGAACCGAGTTTGTTGTGATTCCCACATTGCAAGTCTCAAGTTATTGTTTTTAGGGAGGTAGGAGCTCAACATGCAACTTTTAAATTCCCTGTTTTTGTCTGGCGGGGTTTTTCTTTGACTCTGACCATCCAGCCTGTGCAGGAGAATCGGTTTATTTCTCTGAGACTGTTCCTGTAACGCAAACGTATTTTAAAGCACCTTTCTTAAACAATACATCAAAGCGCCTCATTCAATGTAATAAGAGAAGTAACGTTAAAATGATGAACAAAAAGGACTAGAAAAGACAAAAACAATCAAACCTCATTGTATTTATTTTATAGCAGCTCTGTGATGGTTTAATAATTTACTGTTCGATTGCCCTCAGGGCACTTTACAGGAACATTCACATACATTAAAAAGCCAATTAGTAAAGTTCTCTATCTAAGGAAGTAATTGAAGTAATGTTTAATGCGTAAAACAAACTTTTCTTCTGTAACTTTTGCAAAGAAAAACACAAAGGTCAAACATATTTCAAAGCCTTAAAGTTAACAAAAAGCTTTTAAAGCTGATGTCCAGTAGAGAAGATCAAGGGCTTCATTTAACACAGAAATGTGTGTTTTAAAATAATCTAAATGAGATGAAATAAAAGCTTTGTTAATAATCTACTCGTGTTTTTGACACGAGCTTTTGTCCTTTTTAAAAATAATGGTCTAGAGGTAGAAAAAAAACTTCAGTTCTTGAGTTCTAACCTTTGAGAGATCAGTCTGGAGCTGCACGTCTGAAGTAATAACTCGGGAGAAGTTTCACCTTTTTAATCTTTAAATTGTGTTTTGTGAGCTTTAATTAAAGGAATAAAAATAAAGACTAATCATGATAATGGGTCTCGGTTCTTCTGTTATTTGGTGTTGGGTTTTAATTTGTGATGTTGACAGAGAGCAGAAGATACTTACAGTTTTCATAGGCGCAGTGCAGAGCCAAGTGCTACAGCACAACGTCTGCTTTAACTTCTACAAACTTTGTAGCTGATGTTTCTGTTGATTCAAAGAAGGCTTCACGTGGTGTTGATCACGGTGCAGCACTGCCCTGCAACACAAGCAGTACAAAATAATTTGGTGAAGTTGCTCCAGATTTCTTATGCAGGTGTTTTTCCAAACGCTTTATTGCTTTGGTCACTGACTTGCAGCGTTGTAGTTGGGGTCGCCTGCAGCGCTGCACAGATGAGAACGAGTCTGTATTCACTTTCCCAATACGAAGCGTTTGTTTTTGTTTATGTGCTTTGAACTTGTCCTGTGTCACTGATGAGACACAACTTGAATATTCACTGCGTGCTCACTTAAGCTGTGATGAATCCAACCTCAAACAGAGGAGTAGCTCTGACTCTTACTGTCGGCATCGGATACTTTTGTTGCAGAGTGAATCGTAAACGTAGTGCACGAGGAGCCTCCATGACACTTGAGGGAGTAGTTTGGGGTTACTTGAAATGTGCGTTCTGACCTCTTTTCTTTGTTGTTAGTTTAATGTCACGAGTGCACAGAGTCACAACATTAAGATGCCCAAAGATCTGACATCGTGCTCTTTGCTCCTCACTGGTCTTTAGTTGCAGAGGTCTTCTGGTCGTTTGAGGAGGGGGGGCTAATGGGAGGAGTGGAATGCAGCCTTGTATAGGCTCTTTAGGGTCCAGGGCCCCCCACCTCCTCCCTTTCGTTCTGGCCTGTTTCAGTCACTCACCTGCCAGCTGAAACAGGGCAGGGAAACCTACGCAAGCTTTGAAAATGAAGATGAAACGAGAGCTGCTATAGCTGTAACTATAGGGACTCTGGTTTCTTTAGCTTCTAAATGTCAGTATCTGATTTAGCTTCGTTGTCCCAGTATGAGAGGCGATTTGCAACTGGAGAAGAGCATGCTCTGGACTGTCGCAGTGTTTGAGGGATGAAGTCACCCGTGCAGCAAAGATATTTTCTGACCACTGGCTCGGCTGTGGTTGGTCTAAAAGATCCAAACTAATACCGTTAAATCTCACGGACGAGGCCATTGTTCTTGGGGGTTCGCACCACTAACAAGAGAAAATTATGATTTACCATTAAAAATGTGTTCCCACTAATTCAAGCAGCGTGCATCTCTTCCATGTAAAAAGAAAATCAGTTCAGTTTATTTGTTTGTTTAGTGCCAATTCACAACGAGTCTCTTTATGGGTCTATGCACAAAAGTAACAAATCGTAAATGAAGCGTAATTTAATTTAGTCTGAAACCGATTCAGCTCCACATCAACTGCACGGCTGATACGACCACATTCAGTACTTCATTAAAGGTCAGTTAGTGTAGTGTAGTAAATCAGAAAGCTGTGCCAGTTCTTCACTTTGCTGCGACCTTCATCCAGTTTTGAGCCTCTCTGGAGGTTTGTGACAGCCCGTCACCGTGCTTCTGCTCTTATTTACCCTCTGCCCTCACGTTCACAGCATCTCAGTCCAGCAGCAGCCTGAAGAAGCAGAGGAGTCGCGGCATATTCAGCACATTCTTGTGTTGCTTTCGCAACTACAACGCAGAGCCACCAGCCACAAACACCAGCCCCCCACCTCCACCTGTCGAGGAGAATGGATCGCCTCAAAAGGTAACATGCCGACATCTGTTGTTGCTCGTGTCTTATTTCAGTTTTATTTCTGTTGCTCTTTGTTTTTCTGTGCACCTCACCCTGTTTTTATTTATGCGTGTCACTCTCTCTTGTGTTGTAGTGTGACCAGGTCGAGGTCAGCCCTGTTCCTAGTGTATGTATTGTATTTGAATTTATTTACCTTTGCATGCTGACTCAGCGGGCTACTGTTCTCTTTATTATTCATCTGTAGCCTAATTTCAGCTGATCGTTCAGAAAGTGTAAGGTGTTGCGTCGCCTGCAGGAATGGCACCTGGCTGTTTGCTTAAAGAAAACAACAAACCGTTTAATAAACGAGGCAAGAAACTATTTAAGTTCATCACCTCCACAGCTTCTGTGCAAACAGCTGATCCTTTTCGTGTGAACCTGCTCTGCTCATGAATGATGCTGAGAGCAAGGATTAAACTCCACGGTGGCACTTTGCCTTTAAATCATCATGTTTACTTACTAGTTACCAACAAGTTGGTCACATCAAGCAGTGGGCTCATCTGCTATAATACATCAATATTTCTGCTTGTTTCGTTCTTTCTTGTTCACACATTTTCAGGTTTACTGGTAAACAAACTTTCAGAATGGCCGTTTGTCTCGTGCGAGTGGGGACAAACAACGAGTGGACAGGGATTGAATTGACCTCCAGCTCTAATTCAAAGGGTTAATCTCAACTTTTACAGCAAATGTTTAGAAATCAATAGACGTTTACAAAGTCCGTATGTTTTCATGAGTTATTGAAGAAAAATAAATGTTTTGTGGACTTTGAAAACAAATCCCTCATTGCTGACAGTTTGGAAGTCATGAGAAAAACCAAACGCTCAGTTTGTCAAACGTTAGGACGGTTGTTGTGGATTTTTGTACCGTTTTATTTTAGGTTAGCTAGCTTAGCTGAGCTGAGGTTAGCTGTGCGTGTTGTAATGCGTATTCTTGTGCAGCTCTCGTGTTGCCTTGGCGACGACTCTAGGGTCATTACATTGTAAAGCACCTTCATGTTAGTTTGCAGGGATTGACCGGTGCAAACACAGAGTTTTAAAAATCCCCCTTCTGTTTCTGTCAGCTGTCACATGGTCAGTTCAAACAGCGGTGGCAGCCATGCCTCTGCACCACAACACTGCCCACAAACAGTTTGTGTCGTCCTCAGAGCTGCGGAAGAAGCTTCTCCTCTCTTTATGCGACGGCAGCTGGTGAACTTCTGCTGCTTGCAGCCAATGAGAAGCTGTTCTCCTTTAAGTAGCTTTCATCTCTTGTAACGCACGGAATATTAACATCTCTTTGTTTCTGTCTTTTAACTTTAGCATGAAGTGCGCAATATTTGTGTAAAATTTTGTGTACCATCACCTTTTCCAACTTTATGCAGCCCAGTTTAGTTCCTCCTAAACACTCGGTAGAAAAACTGCCTGGTTGAAGCTAACTTTATTTTTTAACCGATATTTTTACTTCTTTTTAATTACCTTCACAATAACTATAAATGTAAATGCTGTTAATACAATTCATATTTCTTGGCAAGTTTTACTGACTCTGCTCAATGTAATATTTTTGTAGATGAGTAAAAATATTTGTACTCGCCAGTTTAGGTTTTCTTTTTCTGTCTTCAGTTTTTGATGTGCATTTGATATCTGTATGTGCACGTTAGACAGATGATTTGGGCAAGCTGTGTATCTCTGACATGTGTAGTTTTTGTCTCTGTCGCAGAGCAAAAAGGGGGAATTGAAAATACTTGAAAATACCCTCCGTCCATGTTGTGTGATAACTTAAAAAAGTGAGGTGTCTTTCTCATGTGTGTCTACATCTAGGTGTAAGGCAGGTTCTTTGAAAAACTGGGGTGCATCGTGTGTGTGTGTGTGTGTGTGTGTGTGTGTGCATTAGGGGTGCACCGATAAATCGGCCCCGATTTCCTTAATTTGGGAAAATCAGAAATCGGCCGATACTTACATGAGAAACTGATTTTTTTTAGTTTTAACAACAACTGTCTGAACTTCATTTATATTTCAGAGCACTACCTCATGGCCAGTTAACACAAGTTTGTATTGTTTCTAGGATATAGACTGAAAACTGAAGGTGCATTGTGACCTTCTAACACCTAACGGTGTCGATTATAAAACAAAATCGGAATCGGCAGCTCAGACTTTTTAGAAATCGGTGATCGGCCAGAAAACTGCAATCGGTGCACCCCTAGTGTACATGTATATTTATATGTGCGTGTGTATATGTGTGTATGTTTCTGTAACCCGGCCACCCCCATCAGTTCAGGAAACTGTGCTTTCTAGGTTTTTTATTGCTGAAACTAGTTTCCTCAAATGAGTGGGGTGGAAGGTTAATTTTTGGTGGTCAAGGCCTCCTTTGCTCCTGGAGGTGGATAAAATGTCTCTCCAGGATTCGTTTCTCTGCCTGAGCTGATAAGAACACCCCCCAAGTTGAATAACTTGCACCAAAAACATTTAGGTTCACTTCATTCTCTGTTTAATTCCAGTCTAACTACACTGTTGAACTCCCTCAGTGCCGGGGGACGTTGTTCTCCTCTTTTAGTCGTTTGTCTTATTATTATTCACCGTCATCGTCCGTCCGTCTGTCCTTCCACTTGCTTTCTTCACCATCTTCTCTCTTCTGTGTCGCAGGGAGCTGGTGCTCCTCTCCAGCAGTCACTGTGAGAACGACCTGAACGTAACTAACGACATGAGAAAGTCACAACTCAGCTTGGTCCTGTTTTCAGCTCTAAGCAGTGGACGTGTTCAGGGACTGACGGCTCTGAAACAGCCGGCTCAAATAAAAGGAGCAAACAGAGTTTATCTTGACACCTTACTGACAGGATGTGTGAGCACAAACACGTTGTGGATTAATAAACATCAGTCTGTGTAAGTCAGTGAGCCCACTGACCGCTGGACCACCGTACGACGAGAGGAAGCAGCGGTTTCAAACTCCTCTCTGCAGTGGCTGCTGTCTGTAATGACCTCCAGCTGTCTGCTAACACGGTTACTGACAAAATCAACATGTATGCATTGCTTTAGCTTGCCCCCCCCCCCCACACACACACACACACACACACATTTAGAACTACATAATATCCTAAACAAATATTGGAAGGGAAGCTTCCAATATGTTTGTTTGCTGTAAATGGACTTTATCCCTTGAACTAAAGCTGGAAGTCACAACTTGCCTCTTTTTATTCAATATTTTGGATTTAATCTTGTAGCCTCTTCACTCGTTTAAAGGATGATTATCTTATTATTATTTAAAGGGTGATCATTTTTATGCAACAGCCTAATTTGAGATGGCTTTGAACTGAGCCTTTGTACTGAAGTAGAGTTTTGTGATGTATAATTATTATACCTCAGTATTCCTAACACGCTCTGATGGTATTTAATGTAAGCTCATGTGTGTCCGTTTCTCCAGCCGCCAGCTAAATACCTCCTACCAGAGGTGGAAATATCTGACTATGGCAGGAAGTGTGTGGTGATCGACTTGGACGAAACGCTCGTTCATAGCTCCTTTAAGGTACGATGAAGCAAAGAGCACCTTCTGAGAGTGGCGTGTACAGTTCTGTTAACTTGCTTTATTTTGCACACACATTTATTTTGTAATGAGATTCGGGCGCTTTACTCTTAATAATCAAAGCTGAACCAATAATTCCCTGAAAGTTGGTTTAACTTCATTAGATAGCTGTGAATGAATAAAAGATGTGTAATAGTAAAAATATGTAAAGTGAGGAAGTGTATTGAATGGCCTCAGTTTGTAAACATCGCCTGTCTGAAAACACTGATCGGAGATCAGCTGGTCTGAGATCAGCTGGTCTGAATGCAGCCGAGATAGTGGCTCGTGCAATTTATATTTTGAAAACGTTACTTAAATGTTTGATTTATGTGGTTATTGTTTTAAATTAGGAAGTTGCTGGACGTGACCCCTGGGTGCCCCAGAAGTGCCACATCTCACTCCTACCTGTTGCTATTTACACTTCTAAATAATCACACATGTTGATGGAAATATTCAACAGCATTTATGTAAATAATGAATTTTTTAGTGTAAAATAGTCATGCATTGTGAAAGTGACAGTAGTGTAAAGGACGGAGCTTAGTTTAGGATCCAGTTTGGTCTTGGCTGCCTTCAGGGCAGGACATAAAGTTTTTCTGCATACTTCAAGAAGCTTTCCACAAAAAGTAAAGTATTAATTATAACTTTTACACAAAAAGCCAATTTAAAATGGCTGAACTTTGCTTCTAAATAAACCTTGTAGCTGCAGTTAGATGTGAAGAGAGTCCTGAGGGTCTTAAATGTATTTTTTCTGTTTTTGTTGAGATGAAACCTCAAATGATCCTCCTGTCTGGAGAAAACCATTTCATTGTTCAGGATGGTAAATTACTGCTCTAGTTACAGTAAGAAGGGACTGATTTGGCAGTACTTTGTAATAAAGAACAAACTGGTTGTTCTCTTATCAAAGTACATCTGGAAACTTGGAGTTTTGGTTCTCCTAGGAGGCCCTCTGCCGGTCAGTTAGGGTATTACTCCCAGTTTAATGCCCTGTTCCTTCCTTCCACAGCCCATCAGTAATGCTGATTTCATCGTACCCGTGGAGATCGATGGTACCGTTCATCAGGTAATCAATGATAAGATGTTTTTTAGTAAAATCGATTAGTTGTATTAGGAGAAGAGGGATCAAATGATCTCCAGTGGACAACCCTGAAGAGACGGGCTGTTATCCACTTCAAGTAATCCAGGATAGGCTGTGTGTATCCTGGTTGGCCTGTTCATGATTACTTGCACTGGGTGTCAGCTGCTGGCAGCAGTCGTGTTCATCTACACAAAATATGGTCCTTTTTGTAGCAAATTTGTTCTAACGTCATGTTGATGTGGTTCTGATGTGAACTGGGCAGCTGTGGCTGAGCGGTTAGAACAGTCGTCCCCCAATGCAAGAGTTTGGGGTTCGATTCCACCAGCAGTCACATGCTGAAGTGTCCCTGGGCAAAACACTGAACCCTTCATTTCCTCTGATGTGTGTCCCATCAGTGTCTGAATGTGATAAAGCTCTGATTAGTCTTTGTACAGATCTAGTAGAGTGCTGTTTGGGTAAATGAGGCACAGATTGTAAAGAGCTTTGAGTATTTTGATAAGATAGAAAAGAGCAATCTATATAAGTACAGTCCATTGACCATAACTTGCATTGTCCGTGTCATTTTGTGTTTTTATCATTATTATACTCCCGCTGAAAGACAGATGTTTACATCTGTCCATAAACTTTCTTCTGTCTGAACCATAACTTCTGATCTATGCATCATCAATAGACCAGTATTATATACCAGTACATTTTTCATCACCCCAGCTTTGTGACACTGGTCAAAGTCACAAATCAAAGTTAAATCAAAGTCTTTGCTTGTCCGGGTCATTGCTATATATTGACATATAATAGTTTGTCGGTGGGTGTAAAATGTGTCTTGTGTACTTGTTATTTTTCTGGGAGTATTTTTCGGGCTGCTGCCGTTACGCCGTATTATTTTACATTATTAGTGTTTAGTGTATATCTTGGATCTTTTAGCGTACCGTTTGGTGTTTGTTTAGCGTATATCTTGGTGTACATCTTAGATCCTTATTTACTGTTTCTTTTTATACTTTTGCTATTTTTGGATGTAACTGGGACCCTGTGTACATAACTTCGTTCCACCTCATGTACCACACATGGTGGAAACGACAATAAAGTTGACTTGAACTTGAACTTAGACGTGTTTGTTTGCAGGTGTATGTGCTGAAAAGACCCCACGTGGACGAGTTTCTGCAGAAGATGGGAGAGTTGTTTGAGTGCGTGCTCTTCACAGCCAGTCTTGCAAAGGTGTGTACAGATGTGGTGATGGTTTCTGTCCTCACTTGTTTTGTTTACCAACAAGTAAATAAATCTGCTCCTGCTCTTTGAATTTTTACAACCTTCAATTTTCTCTTTTTTTATTTTACTTTTTTTTATTTTATTTTTTTTATCTTTGCCAATAGGTGCTTGGGTAAGTGTATAGAAAGAGACCCAGAAATAATAATGTACAGACATGGACAGAAATTTTGGTGCTCGTTCCTTTTTGTTAAATAAATAATAAATAAATAATAAAAACTCAAAGTTCACTGAAATATTTGAAACTGACTAAATTAATTATAAGGAACAAAGACTGAAAATGAACTGATGTAAAATCAGTCATGACTTGATTCAACAGAATAAAAACAATTAATTAATGATGCAGGTCTTGACCCAAAGGATGGTGCCCTCAGAAAGATTCAACTAATTTGACCTGGGAGGGGGGGGTCCTGTAATCAGTGTCTCAGGTGTCTTCAGTCTGTAATCAGTCTGCCTGTTTAACAGGTGGCAGGTAGTCACAGGGCTGCTTGGTATCATGGTGTGTAACACTGAGCATGGAGCACAGGAAGCTGAGGACAGAGTGTCTCAGGAGCTTAGAGACGATGACTGCCATCATGCTGAAGGTAAAGACCATGAGACTGTCTCCATCAGCTCGATGTTCCTCAGACTACAGCTGCTCAGAGAAATCTGAAGGTCCACAGGACCAGAGACAACCAAAGCACACTCAAGTCGCAGGTCTTCAGTTCTCCAACAGGATAATGACCCAAAACACAGAGCAGAACACACCCAAGAACGGATCAGAACCAAACATGGGACAGTTCTGAAGTGTCCTTCTGAGCCCTGATCTAAATCCTGTTGAACATCTGTGCAAGAAGCTGAAACATCTGGAGAAGATCCATTTGAAACCTGAGACAGCTGGAGCAGTTTGATCATGAGGAGTGGACCAAGACGCCTGCGGACAGGTGGACCAGGACGCCTGGGGACAGGTGGACCAGGACGTACAGATGGACCACCACGGACAGGTGGACCAGTACAGATAGGTGGACCAGGATGCCCGCGGACAGGTGGACCAGAACGTCTGCGGACCAGGACACCCCCAGGCAGGTGGACCAGGACGCCTGCCGACAGGTGGACCAGGACGCCTGCCGGCAGGTGGACCAGGATGCCTGCAGGCAGGTGGACCAGGACGCCTGCCGACAGGTGGACCAGCACGGACGGGGGGACCAGCACGGACGGGGGGACCAGCACGGACGGGGGGACCAGCACGGACGGGGGGACCAGCACGGAC